GTGATTTTAGGTGATTTTTAACTACTTGACCATGATTATTTTGGGAGGGGGCGACGGGGGGGGGGGGCGAGTATTTTTTTGGGAGCGTGCGCCCCCACGCCCTCCCCTAGATACGCCACTGCTCACGTGAGATCAAATTGAAGGTATTAGTTTTCGATGATGTGCGAGCGAATGAAGCAAACCCGGCAATAGCGATAGCGACGGAAAAGCGAAGAAATTCAATACAAAGTTATAAATTAGCAGCGAATTGAAAAAGAGGGAATTGCCATATCATCCAGTCTTAAAAATCTGTTAATAATCAATGCACGGGGAACAATGGAAGCAGGGAGCCCCACCAGATAGACACAAGCGAAATGCACTGTGAGAGATTGAAACCCCGACCTCAAGTTTGGAAAAGCAAACTGTTCCCGCTTCTACATGCATCGACCCCACCATACAAACATATTAATTTCCTTCAATTTTTTGTTACCCAGGCCTTGTTGCGTCAAGAGTCAATCTCAACAAGTACGGACATCCCTGAAGGAGGAGGAGATGCTCTTATGCAGGCAATTGTTTGTACGGTAAACATAAAATTAAAAAAAATCATTATTACCTCCGCCAAGGAGGTTATGTTTACGCCCATGTTTAGTTGTTACAGTGTTCTATGACTAACAATCTAAAGGTGATTACACTTTTAAATGTCAAAGGTTAAGTTTGCTATCGACGAAAAACTACTTTATTTGTATAACAGCCTGCAGTGCAGTTTTCATAAGAAACAATATTCTATGACCAAACATCTGGAAGTGACTTTTGAAGGGTCGTGATCAAAGGTCAAGAAGGACACAATGAACATAAATACTTGTGAAACATGATTTGTCGTCTAAGGTGTTAAAGAACATATTGGCATTCATTTTAAAGCGATACATGTTTAGTGTAGTGGTTAGAAAAGTGTTTTCGACACTACCGGACCCGGGTTCAAATACCCTATTTGATTTTGTTTTCATTATCTTTTATTTCATTGTCCGTATTTATACAGAGGAAAATTATAATGTGGGCGGAGGTGTCCACTGTCGGAGTGCGCTCTTATTATTATAGCATGTCTCTAATGTAGTAGAATATTTAATTAAATTCATATATATATATATATATATATATATATATATATATAAAACATATACCGGTATATAACATATATAAAATATAATAATAATATATATAAATATAATTAGAAATAGGCCTAGTATAACACTTATTATTTTATTATTCCCAACAGTAGCTGAACAAGCCATTATTATTGTTCTGATTTTTCCCCCTTACATATCGTTTTTCCTATATGTTTGCACTTGGGTTTTCCTACCACTTTGGTCTATTACCATGCTTGGATCTTTTCCAAACTTAACATTTATTCATTTCTCATACAGAGACTTTGAAAAAAACTATAAATTATATAAAATAGTGTATATATAAACAAAAGTCATCAATGTTCAAAATGAAAGGTTTCCAAAGAAACTATAAAGCTTTTATAAAGTGAAACCAAAATTCAAATATGAAAATGAGATTCAGATTAATGTGCGGTAAGTAGTAAAGGGAAATGGATATTCTGTAATATCTCTGATAATTATGTTTCATTTGTTTAATAATTTGATGTCATATGTATACATATATACACACACACACATATATATATATATATATATATATATA